CAAGCAACTTTTCCGTACACTGCAGTGAGTTGTGAAACAAACTAAAAAGTGATATTACTATCATATCAGGATAATGTAGAAATAGTTATGGATACCTTGTAGTTTAATAATAAGTAAGTACATACTGTACTAATTTACTATTATAAAATAATTTTTAGTTGTTACAGTTTCTTTATTTGTTTTTGTTTTTTTTTAATTTCGCGCAAAGCTACACGAGGGCTATTTGCGCTAGCCGTCCCTAATTTAGCAGTGTAAGACTAGAGGGAAGGCAGCTAGTCATCACCACCCACCGCCAACTCTTGGGCTACTCTTTTACCAACGAATAGTGGGATTGACCGTCACATTATAAAGCCCCCACGGCTAAAAGGGCGAGCATGTTTGGTGTGACGGGGATTCGAACCAGCGACCCACAGATTGCGATTTTTTTTTCTTGTTTCGTAGATTTGATTATACACGTGATCGGTATGATATCGATCGTGCCACTAGGGAGCGCCTCTGCAAGTGATGCCACTCAAAATTTTCTTTTACATCTTCAAATTTTCAATGCCTAAATGTTGATTCAAAACAATATTTTTATACACACCGCATTTTGGACACGTTTATACCCACAAAATCAACTCCTTGTTTGTTTTGTTGTTAAACGCAAAGCTACATAATGGGCTTCCCACTAGGGGTATCGAAACCCGGTTTTTAGCGTCATAAACTCATAAAAACTTCGTGTTTTAAAATTCTAGAGGATCTTACCGTAAAAAAAATGTAAATTATTTTTTCCAGGTTTTATAAAAGTTTCCCAGTTTTCCTGATTTTTTTACTCCATTTCAAGATTTCTTCACTTTTCCAGGTTTTATAAAAGTTCCCAGTTTTTCCTGATTTTTTTACTCCATTTCAAGATTTCTTCACTTTTCCAGGTTTTATAAAAGTTTCCCAGTTTTTCCTGATTTTTTTACTCCACTTCAAGATTTCTTCACTTTTCCAGGTTTTATAAAAGTTTCCCAGTTTTTCCTGATTTTTTTACTCCACTTCAAGTTGTCTTCACTTTTCCAGGTTTTATAAAAGTTTCCCAGTTTTCCTGATTTTTTTACTCCACTTCAAGTTGTCTTCACTTTTCCAGGTTTTGCGAGAGTTTCTCAATTCTTCATTTTTACATTTTTTTTTCCATTTCCAGTTTCACCTTTTACTATTTCGATGATGTCTAACAAACTAACAGTATCAAGTCAGTAACGCCCTCCAGTGGCACAGCGGCATGTCTGCGGACTTACAACGCTAGAAACCGGGATTCGATACCCGTGGTGGGAGAGCACAGATAGCCCATTGTGTAGATTTGTGCTTAACTTAAGCAAACAAACTAACAGTATCAAGTAACGCTGTAACTTACCCAATAGCTAAACATTACAGGGACCGTGGAGAGCACCTGAACGTTGACCCCTAAGAACAAACAAATTAAATGTCACAGAAATATTTCGACCATAGATTTCTTTCATTTGAAATGGTTCTACTGTATACTGAAAGTTATAAACAACTAAATACTGTGGTTGTTTAAATATATGTGGACAACTGTATACATAACCTTTATAAGCATGATTTAAATCTAATTGGGTGCTATAACGTTTTACAAGTTATAAACAACTAAATACCGTGGTTGTTTAAATATATGTGGAGAACTGTATACAAAAGCTTTATAAGCATGATTTAAATCTAATTGGGTGCTATAACGTTTTACAAGTTATTAAACAACTAAATACCGTGGTTAGTTTAAATATATGTGGATAACTGTATACAAAAGCTTTATAAGCATGATTTAAATCTAATTGGGTGCTATAACGTTTTACAAGTTATAAACAACTAAATACCGTGGTTGTTTAAATATATGTGGATAACTGTATACAAAAGCTTTATAAGCATGATTTAAATCTAATTGGGTGCTATAACGTTTTACAAGTTATAAACAACTAAATACCGTGGTTGTTTAAATATATGTGGATAACTG